TTGTAGTGAACCAAGATTGTGCCACTGCACTCCAGCCTGGGCCACAGAGCAAGACTCCATCTCAAAACAATAAATAAAATAAGACATATCTATATATAATCTTCATTCATAGGGTTGTCGTAAGGATTGAGTTAAATGCAATGGTGTCTGTGGCTGGATGGGACACTCACCGCACAGGCACATCGTAGGTGCTTGGTAAATGTCAGCCGTTCTCCTCATCATTTGGCAGAGGGTAGGAGAGGGTCCCCTACTCTTGCCCCCTGCCAGAGCTACTATGGCCACTGCCAGCCTGTAGGATGGGTCGTGAACAGATAGGGCTGGGGGTGGTAGAGCCACACACAGTATGGACATCAGGGCTAAAAGGTCCAGGTTGCAATCTTAGTTCCCCCCACATCCTGGGCCAGTCACTCGCCTGAGCCTGCCTGCCCATCTGTAAGATGGAGAGAACACCAAGGCTCTGAATCATTTATTGCCATGGTCCAAGGTGACCAACCATCCCAGTAGCTCCAGACTGAGGGGTTTCTTGGGATGTGGGACTTTCAGGGCTAAAGCCAGACAGAACTTGGCAAGTAGAATGGCGCGTCACCCAACATGGATCCTGTTGACTGCACAAAATAAAATAAAATGCATTGATTTAAGGAAAGCAATTATGCTGAAGTAATCAAAACATTTTTTAAGTTTTCTGACTTGCTCTATGTGTGCTTCTTTATTAATACATCAAATAACAAGATCCGGTGGTCTCAGTAGCTACCACAGTTTCAAAGCAGCAATATGTGTAAATGATATTTTGAAATACTTGCAGCTACTGTAATGTGATAAGCAAATATTAGTAACAAAGTTGCAGGTCCTACCACTACTACTTTGGTTTCTTGCCTACATCTCACTGAAAGAACTGCTCAATTTCAGTGAGAAGTGAGTGAAATTGAGGTGTAATGCTTTCCCATCCAAAGTCACAGGCCCCCTGAATTCTGTCGACAACTCCCTTGGGTCCCCAGGGACTGCAGGCTCACAGCCCCCTAGTCCTTCATGTTGGCGTGGAGGTGGGGGTCAGTGGAACTGACTGGGGATTGATGCCTGATGTGGCAGGTGTGGCACCATCCCCCTCTCTCCCGCAGATGCCCCTGGGCAATACGGAGCTTATTTCCACGATGATGGCTTCCTTGCCTTCCCTGGCCGTATCTTCTCCAGGAGGTGAGACTGGCGTTGGGAGAGCCCGTGGGCCTAATGGGGAGGACGGGAATCTGGGACTTCTGTCCCCTCACCCACTCTTCCTCCGCAGCCTGCCCGAGGTGCCCGAGACCATCGAGCTGGAGGTTCGGACCAGCACGGCCAATGGCCTCCTGCTCTGGCAGGGTGTGGTGAGTGTGGGCATCCGGCCAGACTCTTGGGGCTCCTGGGGCAGGAAGCTGGCTTCCTGGTGGCCAGAGTGGTGGGGAGAGGGGAAAGCGGAGCCTCCTGGCCTCGGCAGCCTCCGCTCTCCAGGCTGGGGACCCCAGAGACCCTGTGCTTCCCTGGCAGGAGGTGGGAGAGGCTGGCCGAGGCAAGGACTTCATCAGTCTCGGGCTTCAAGATGGGCACCTTGTCTTCAGGTGGGTCCGGGCACCTGGCCCTTCCTCTCCCTTCCCTGGTCCCAGCACCCCACCCCCCCATCCTGCCCCACCTCACACTTCTTGGGCCTGGATGACTACAGGTACCAGCTGGGTAGTGGGGAGGCCCGCCTGGTCTCTGAGGACCCCATCAATGACGGCGAGTGGCACCGAGTGACAGCACTGCGGTAAGGGACCCTGCCGGGCACTCGGGACGGGGCCCAGTGTTCTGGAGTGGGGCAGGATGCCCCCCACCATGGGCAGAGAGGCAGGCATTGAGCTCTGTGGAGACAGAACTTAAAGCCAGGAGAGGGGAGAACCCACCAGCCAGGGCTCAAGCTTCCATCTCAGACTGCACGCCGCTGGGGGCAAGCGAGCGCCCTCGGGGCAGGAGGAAACCTGGGCGCAGAAACGAGGAAGATGCCTTCGTGGGGCCGATCTCTTGTTCAGCGGGGGAAAGAGAGCTTGGGGAACAGGGACAGACTTCTGAGTCTGGAATCTCGGTGCCAGAGGGAGGGGACTCTGTCGTGGCGCTGGGGAGGACCGGGGAGTTTGTGGGAAGGGGCCTGACCCAGGTCCATTGCAGGGAGGGCCGAAGAGGTTCCATCCAGGTCGACGGTGAGGAGCTGGTCAGCGGCCGGTCCCCAGGTCCCAACGTGGCAGTCAACGCCAAGGGCAGCGTCTACATTGGTAAGTCTGGGGCTCCTTCTCAGGGCAAGGGCAGGAACAGCACTCCCTTGGGACTGGAGCTCACCCGGCCTTCCTCGCCTCCTGGGCTGCTGGAGCCCACAAGCCCTGTCCTCTCACCTCCTGGCAGGCGGAGCCCCCGACGTGACCATGCTGACCGGGGGCAGGTTCTCCTCAGGCATCACAGGCTGTGTCAAGAACCTGGTGCTGCACTCGGCCCGACCCGGCGCCCCGCCTCCACAGCCCCTGGACCTGCAGCACCGCGCCCAGGCCGGGGCCAACACACGCCCCTGCCCCTCGTAGGCACCTGCCTGCCCCACACGGACTCCTGGGCCGCGCCCCAGCCCGACAACGTCGAGTATATTATTATTAATATTATTATGAATTTTTGTAAGAAACTGAGGCGATGCCACGCTTTGCTGCTACCGCCCTGGGCTGGACTGGAGGTGGGCACGCGACCCCCACCCACACAGCTGGGCAAAGCCACAAGGCTGGCGGGCAAGGCAGGTTTGATGGGAGTAGGCGCCTCAGAAAGCCACCAGGACTTGGGGTCAGGAACGGTGGCTGGGTGGGCCCAGAACTGCCCCCACTCTCCCCCTACCCACCAATGGAGCCCCCAAGATAGAGCTGGGTGGCCTGTTTCTGTAGCCCTTGGGCAGTTCTCACTCCTAGGAGAGCCAACCTCGGCTTGTAGGCTGGTGCCCCACAGCTACCTGAGACGGGCATCGCAGGAACCTCTGCCACCCACTCAGGATTGGGAATTGTCTTTAGTGCCGGCTGTGGAGCAAAAGGCAGCTCACCGCTGGGCAGGCGGTCCCCATCCCCACCAGCTCGTTTTTCGGCACCCCCACCCACCTCCACCCAGCCCCTGGCACCTCCTCTGGCAGCGTCCCCTTCCTACCACGCCCTCCTCCTGGCCTGCATTCCCACCCCCTTCTGCCAGCACACAGCCCAGGGTTCCTCCCTCAGGGGCTGTAAGGGAAAACCCACCCCAACTCTTACCAGGAGCTGCTACAGGCAGAGCCCAGCACTGAGAAGGCCCCGCCCACCGGGCCTTGCCCACCCCAGGCCACATCCCCACTCATCTGGAAGTGAAGGCCCAGGGACTCCTCAGATGCCGCTGGTGCCCAGGAAGAGCTAGTGCCTTGGGTGGGGGAAAGCAGAACTCACAACTGGGAGAGAGAGGAGGGGGATAGGACCCCCGACCACCCTGCCCCATCTGCGGGAGCCTGAAGCTCCAGCTCGAGTGCCATCCTGCCAGTGGCTCCCAGACTGTGGGGTTGGGACGCCTGGCCTCTGTGTCCTAGAAGGGACCCTCCTGTGGTCTTTGTCTTGATTTTTTCTTAATAAACGGTGCTATCCCCGCCAGGGGCCTCCCGTGTCTTTGATGAGGGCTTCACTCAGTGGAGTCTGTGGGTGGGGCAGAGCGGGGCAGGTGAGATCTGGGGGTGAAGCAAGGTGTTTTTGGATCAGTGAGGCTCCCAGACGCCCAACCCTGTGAGGCAGGAATCGTCCTATTTTCTGGAGGGGCAGCTGAGTCTCAGAGGGTCAGGAGGCCTGTCCAGCATCAGACAGAGAGCCAGGTTAGAACCCGAGGAGTCTGTCTGACCCCAGAGCCTAGTCCCATTCCCATGTGCCCAAAGCCCTCTAGGGATGGCCTCCCTGACCCTGGAAGGCTGGGCCACTCAGCTGCAGCCCCCTGGGGAGACCTGGCTGGGACATGGGTAGCAAATGGCAGATGTGCTGCAGCGGAGGCAGAGGCCACAGGCGCCAGGTTGCCAGGCCAGCCAGCTAGGAGAGCACCAGCACCAAAGGAGGCCCATGAGGAGGCCAGCAGAAGCCAGGAGCATCGAGGAGGCCAGCACCACCCCTCGGAGCTGGGGGCCTGTGGGAAGAGAAAGTCCACTCAGGCCTTGGCCTGGGCCCACTGCCCCTGTCTCCATCACCTGGAGAGGGACAGGTGTGATTTTGGCGGGGAGAGTAGGAGCAGGGTGTAACCTTCCAAAGCTGCGTCCTGTCTCGTGGGGTCCCTGCCTGCTGGGGGACTCCTCTCAGCTGCAATCCGGAGGGATCCTGCGGACCCAAGAGCTGGAGAGGGAGTCGGAGAGCTGGAGGTGTGGTGGTCTGTACTTCCTGTCTCGCTGGCCACCGGAGAGGGACCTACATGGGAAAGAACAGAACTAGCACACTGAGAACTGCCTTTTCTGGGGCACTTGCGTGTTTCATTCAGTCTTCACAAGACTTCCCTAGTTTGTCACTCTTTGTGTTTCCATTTTACAGAGAGGTTGTCACTTGCCAAGGTCACTTAGCTGGAAGTGATAGGAGGACTTGAATTCACACGGTCTGGCTCCAGGGCCTACGGTCTATGAGTGGAGCTACTTCTCAAGGAAGAGGGTGTACATGTACTGAGCATTGAGGCAGGGTCTCACTCTGTCGCCCAGGCTGGAATCCAGTGGCGCAGTCACCACTCACTGCAACTTCTGCCTCCCAGGCTCAAGCGATCCTCCCAGCTCAGCCTCCTGAGTAGCTGGGACTACCAGCACACGCCACCACACCTAGCTAATTTTTTTATTTTTTGTAGAGACAGGATCTCACT